GACGACAAATATTTTTATCGTCATTGTATCTCGCCACGGCTCGTTCTTCCGCGTGTGCCACCCCTCGCGTGCTACTCGAGGGTAATGCGTAGCTTTCGAGAGTGAAGTCTGGAAGCCGTGAAAGGACCACCCTATCATCTCAGACCGTCTCGAAAGTCTTCTCTGTGAAGGATCTCGAAGAACTTGTTTTAGGGAAACACGAGTTTCGCTCGTTCCTTTATTCCCTGCTTCGCGATCGCGAGAACATCGTGAGGCACTTTGGATGATCGTGATCAAATAGATTTTTAATACGTGATAATTTCACATTTAACGTTGATAAATAATCTCTCATATTATAGTACGAGAATTATCTCGATCCAACATTGTATCAATCAAAAAGAAAAATAGTTCTTATTAAATTTAACGAATGAAAAAAAGAATGGAGGAAATATAAAAAGATCTTGTGACGTAGATTCGAATTAAAATTGCTAAAAATCTTCATAATTGTGCTATTGAAGATAGAAAGAATTTCAGTGACAATCAGTGTCAATTCTACATTTCTAGACAAAATAAAAATTCAACGTTGATCAATATACATCGTCTCGCAAACAAGATAAAACAATGAAGAATTTCATTCTGAAAAAGAGGCAACATCCAACAATTATTATTGGTTCATTGAAATATATTTCGATTCGAGTGTTAAAGATATACACGAGTAGAGGATGATAGAAAACAGGTGTTTCGCGAAAGCGTCAACGACCGAGCGACAGCACAAAACAGAAATCAATTAAACCGCGAGGACGGCTCTTCCAAAATGGCGCGCGTTCGTGGATTATTCTCAGCCTGGTATATTTCCGTTCGACGCATTTCACGGCCGTTCACGGCTAATTCCGTCTCTGCTGGTTTATGGAACAGGCCAGACCCGGCGCGCACGCTAACTTCGTGTCACGAAAACCGTGTTCAAGTCGAGGAAACGATAACCAGAGAGTCTCGTGACTTTCCATTCCAAACCTGCTATCCCGCAAAATTCGTAACTGATCGATAAAAACGAGCGCGATGTAACTTTGTCGAATATATTGCCAAAAATAATTGGCCAAGGAATTTCTTTTTATATATTTAATATTCGTTTTGAGCGAAAACTTTTGGCTTTATCGAATTTTTTATTCTTGATACGCTTTCTTTCGAATTATTATTCTTGTTTTGATTTCTTTTAAAGTTTACGAGTTTACAAGAAGAAATGAAAGATAAAATATAAACTCGTTTTATTTTTTATCCAAGTAATAAAAAATATCAAAAAGATTGTCATCTATTATCGTATTTGAATAAAATTAAAAATTATTCGTATTAAAATCGGTTCTACTCTTCTGTTGCGTTCGCGAAACATTTGTTTAATTTGTATTATTAGAAATGAGGAAGTATAAGAGAATTAAAGGAAGGAATATGGAATATATATAATATAATATAACGATAAGGAAGGAAACAGGAAGGAAAATCAGTGACCACGAAATTAGGTCGAATGAAGATGCGGCGTAAAAGTTGTCGACGACTCTTCTAATTAGTGGAAATTAAGTTAACGAGAAAAAGATGTCGTGGAGGACGTGGAGAGGGACGTCCTTTCTCGATCGACACGATTTCTTTCCTTCATTTTTTATTCGTTTCGTATGCACATCAAAGAGGAACAAGGTCAAGGAACAATCCTCTGACATTTGCGAATCGAATATTACTTTTTGATCTTGATGAGATTACCATTTGTCCTTGTGTGTTCCCAGACATTTTCATGGAAATGCATAAATTGAATGTAAATAAGGGAGAAAAATTTAATATTTAAATTGAAAAATCGAAGAACTAAAATAATATTGCGAACGTCAAAAACAAGTTAGAGACAACGAATAAAGATTTTAATCTATCGTAAAAATTTTACAAAGAGGACACATTTCTTCTTCACTTATAAACTATCTTATAATTAAATATATAAATTAATAAAAATTGCTAGTACAGTACAACTGCCAAAGAAAAAACACATCGATAGACGATCCTCCCAAAATATACATTCATCTCCTTAAGATTTAAATCAATCAAATAAAAATATTCACAAGATAACCAATATACCATCACACCAAAAGATTTAAATCAATCGATATCGACATCAGAAAGATTCAAAACATTGCTAATATGATATCACCAATTTATACGATTTCCATCTAACCCTCAAATCCAATAATCATCTCGACGGATTGAAACACCTCGACTAATTCCTCCAATCGAATCTCAATTCTAATTAATTTCATTTCATACTATAATATCCAACTCAGCCGATCTTCGTTCGTTCGTCTCGTTGGGATTAATACCAATCGTTTGAATCGACGTTCGACGAGTATCGAGGATGGTCTCGCCATTCTGGAGGGTGACCCATTCGAATCTGAGTGGTCTCGTTCAGGAGACCATTGGATGCATCGGTTCCTCGATACCCTACGACACTCGTGTCGACACTCTAGAGGAGATGAAGCATCCCCCTTCCAAGCTTCCAAGCTAACCACTCGAGATGGAAAATCGATCGCAACTTTCCTATTCTCGAATCGACCCTACCTCGATTAAACTCTATTGTCGACTTATGGGACGAGGGCAATTAAGGGTCATTGGACGTCTAACGATGCACGAGTGTCGTTAGATTAATAGCGACGTGTCCTTTTACATTTTGTTAACCGAATTCGTTAAAAGGTGGTATTAGAATATGTGATGGATTCCATTTTTCGATTGAATTAATAACAGAGATATTTTTAGCAAATTTAAATTAATTGAGTTCAAGTAATATTGATATTAAATAATAGGTTATTAAAAATCATGTATCCAATTAATTTTGAAAAATAATTTTTCCAGAGCTATTAAATCGTTCGTTATTATTATCATCGAATATATAACCATATTTTAATTTCAATATGAAAAAAAAAAAAGGAAAAATCAAATCCTTATTCCTTTAAATTAAATTGATACCCAAGGTACTAACTGTCTACTACTCTAACCACTTTAGAATTTTAAATATGCTGATATTGCTCTGATATTCGTTCATACGTGACACGTGCAACGTCGTTTAAATTCAACGTCTCAACGTGTTCAGCGTGCTCTCAGGAGGGAATCAGCGCCATGCAATGTACCGTCTCGATCGCTTTTCTGGGAATTTGTTTTAATTGGACCTCCCGAGTTGGGGAGGATTATCGATCGCGAGCTAGTGCCTTGCTGATTTTCGCGGCGAAAAACAGGATGGGGGTGGGGTCGAAAGAGGGAAGCAGGTGTTCTTTGGACGATGAAAGCTGCGCCTCGAACGGGGGTATTAGTTGGAATGAATGAACCTTTTTTTCTTCTTTCTTTTTTTCTTTTTTTTTTTTTTTTTCTAGGGATCGATTCACCCTCTAGGTCTGGAAAACGTGATTTACGAGGAGAAAAAGATTGGACGGGAGCCGAGGATGAATCGTTTTATGATTGAATTGAATTCGAGCGTGTTAAGTTTATGGGGGCGAGTTAAGTATAATTTGATATGGGAAGAAATGGTATTATTGCCATTGCTTCATTTCCACATGGAAGTAATTAAATTCTTATTACGGTGAAATTATACTTGCGAGTCGTCGAGAAGCGTAATAAGCCTGGCTACAAATTAATGAACGCATCTTGTGCGCGATGAGAGTGAGGCGAGATTGCTTCAAACGAGAAATGCTTCTAATTACGACGTTATTTAACCCTTTGCCTTGTAATAGACGCGAGCTCGTGATACGGTTTCCGAATCAAAGGTGGAAGTCGAGCACGGGAATCACACTTGATTGTCACTATTTAGGTCTTATGGTGCTTTATAATTATGTTAAAAGACTATACGATTTCTCGCAGCAACATCGTCAAAACCTTAAAATAAACCTGGTGTAACGTAATTTGGGTCAAGAAATGACGTTCGTCGTGGAAAGAAATTATTTAGAAATCTGGCAAAGGGAACGAATTTGACTGAATAGATCCATACTCAAAGTGCAATGGAATGGAAGTCGAAGAGAAATAGATTGGTGTCCAATGGTATGAAATATATGAAAAAGAAATTCTTTGTGATGTTTTCATATTATTTTTAAATATCAAACATGTTCTTTAAATTTTAGATCAAAAGCCATAGAGGATAAATAATAAAAAAAAAAAAAAAAACTATTCCTATATTAAATTCATGAAGAAAGAAAATAAAAAAAAAAATATGAAGATAAAAAGCAATCTTTTTGATCTTTTCATAGCTGTAAAAAACCTTATTAAAAACTACATCGTATAATTTTTATATTAAATTTCACTAAAAAAAGATTATAATCCTTTATAATCCTTCAAAAAACAAGTATCAAAAAATCTACAATACCCTCAAGGACAAAGAAAATCATTTTCAATTCAAAATAAAGTAAAATAAAATAACATCCTAAATAAAACTGCAAAACACTAAGAAACACAATTCATAGACCAATTTCTTTCAAAAATCTCATTCCAATAATCAGACAACAAGTGCCTTTGTCTCGCAGCCAAAAATTCTAACCAACCAACGTAAATACAAATCCAAGAGATACAACATCATCGCCGGCAACCCCTTTCTCCATCCGACTGTTACATTTCTTATCACTCATCACGTCGAAAACTATCAAATTACAAAAAAAAAAAAAAAAAAAAAAA